TGGACATGCACAAGTGTGTGTATGCGTGTGTGCATGTATATATGTGTGCATGTATGTGTGTGCGTGTGTGCACGTGTGTGTGCGCATGTGTGTAATGTATGTGTGTATGCGTGTGTGTGCATGATGTATGTGTGTGTGTGTATGTGTGTGTGTGCGCATGTGCATGCGTGCGTGTGTGTTTGTGCAGGTGTGACCCTGTGTATGTAAAGGCCAAAGTTGACCTGTGTGTCTTCTATTGTCGCTTTCCCCCTCATTATTTGAGAAAGGGTCTTCCACTGAACCTGGAGCTTGCTGACTGAGCGGCCAGCAAGCCTGGTGTTTCCAGGCCCCGGTGCTGGGCTTGCACTACCACTCCCAGCTTTTATGCTGGGGATTCAAACTCAGGTCTTCATGTTTGATGAAGTGCTCTACCCACTTCATGTGATGAGTGCTCTAACCACTGATCCACCTCCCCACCTCTTAGCCTGACTACTTCTGAGTAGTAAATGCAGGGTGTCCATCCGCACACAGGGTGAGGGTGCTGGAATCAGCTCTGGGGAGCCCACTGGCACCTCAAACTCAGCCTCCAGACTAGCCACCTCCACCCCACCTGCTTTCTAATCATGTGACTCTTTCTGCAGATGGAGACACCCAGCTGAACCCTGCTGTGGTTGACACAGTGCTGACTGGTGTCCCAGGTCCCCGGGGTCCCCCTTGTCCCCCTGGTGAGTAGATTGAAGATTTCTTCTTTGGCTTGTCCTGAGCACAAAGGTCTATTGCCCTACTTTGTTTGTTTGTTTGTTTGTTTGTTTGTTTGTTTGTTTGTTTGAGATGGGGTAGTATGTAGCCCAGGATGGCCTCCCATTCACTATGTGGCCAAGGATAACCTTTGACTTCTGATCCTCCTGCCTCCAGCCCCCAAGTTCTGGGATTGCACAAGTGCCCCCACTATACCTGGTTTATGCAATGCTAGGACCACCCAGTCATGTACTCTACCTAGGGTCTTGGGGAAACTGAAGGCCAGTTGGGCAGTCTATGGTCTCCAGTTGAATATGCTCCCGCCCCCCCCCCAGACAATTGGACACATCAGTCCTGAACAAATCTATTAGAACAGGACAGATGTCTGAATGAAGTGGTCCCAGGCTGTCTTTGGGTGCACCAGGGTCCATGCAAGCTCAGACCAGGGACAGACAGGGCAGCAGAGGGAATCGAGGACCTTGGGGTGGGGTATGGCACACACACACACAGTAGGCAGCAAAGTCAAGATCTCTATGGGAAAAGAGAGACTGCGTGTTTCCCACCCTTCACAGACTCTCTGTGTACACATAGGCAAACATGTCATGCCCCAAGGATTCCATAAGTGAACAGACAAGCCATGTAGGTGGCCACTGGCTCACTGCTCACCTCTGTCTGGGGACAGGGGCTATGGCTCAGTGATGGGATGGTGGTGTGGCTCAGTGGTAGAGTCACTGCACAAGGATCTACATTCCCTCCCCACTCTTTGGTAGAATGGAGGAAAGCCATGGTGACAGACGGATCTGGAAAGGAGATGAATGGAGTTTATACAGAAGGTTATATTTGAGAGACTGAGGCAGCAGATTCATGGGGTACTAAGGACTTCTGGGTGACATGCCACATCCCTGGCATGCTTGGGATACAGGGATGGTGCTTGTTTATAACTAGACTGAGGTCTACATCTGAGCGTGACCACACTGGCGCACTCTGGGAAGGGCTCCATGAGGCTTGGGAAGTGCAAGTCTGTGCAGGGAAGTGGGTTGGAAGCCTGGTCCTTGAAACAGGCAGGGGACCCATGATGGCCATAAGCAGGGGCTGGCCACATCAAAGACATACGGGCCAGTGCTGCCTAAGAGAATTGGGGAGGAATTGATGGGAAGAGACAGCAGCAGTGGAGCTTTCCAGAAGTAGGTATCTGTGGGGTGAGGATGAAAAGGGCCTGACTGGGGACCTGCGAGTGTTGTAGTTTCTATCTGGTTGCTGAGACAAGCGCCATGGCCAAAAGCAGCTTAGGAAAGGACAAGGTTTGTTTCAGTTTACAAGTCACAGTCTGCCATTGAAGGAAGCCAGGGCAGGAACCCGAGGTGGCAACCATGGAGGATTCCTACTTGTTGGGCTCACTCACAGGTTCAGGCTTGTACAGCCAGGGCCACCTCCCTAGGGGGTGGTGCTGCTCACAGTGGGCTTGGCTCTCCTGCATCAAATAACAATAAAGACAATCTCCTAGACATGCCCATACATCATTCTAATCTGGGCAGTCACTCAACTGGGGCATCTCCCTCTCAGATGGCTCTAGACTGTCAAGTTAATAGTTAAGTCTCTCCTGAGTGGAGGAACCTTCAGAGATCCCAACACAGTATTTCAAATGTGTGATTTGGATGGACTTGGTAACCAAGGCAAATGGATGGGGGTGTCAGAGGGCCTGGTTCTAGGTTTTTAAATTGGCAGGAGACTGGCAGGCTGGGCTGGGACATTGTGGATTAGCTCCCTGCTCAGTCTCCATGTCTTGGGGTTGGGGGTGGCCATGTGGATTAGGAATGGCAGGAGATGGGTGGATGGAAGTGGGCCTCTGAGATTTGAGGGTCTGGGGAGTCTGTGTCTTCTATGATATTCATTCACCAAACTTTCATTTGCTACCAGTGGGGCAAGACCCAGGGCAAGGTCAGGATGCTGGGAATATCCCTGTTCAGATCTGATGGGGGAGCGGTGAACTTTTCTGGTCTCAATTGTTCATCAATGACTCTACCCACAGGTCCTCCAGGACCACATGGTCCTCCAGGACCTCCAGGAGCACCTGGATCCCAGGTAAGTTCCAGGCCATTTCTAGTGTGGTATAGGGAGTAGTTTGTGCTGTCAATGTCCCAGTTAGTACCACTCCCATTTTTTTTTATGAGCTGAGTCACAGAAAGCTTAGATTTTGCTGGAAGCCACATAGACATTCTCAGCAGGTCACCCAGTGATACTTGAACCCCTGTTGGAGAGGAAGCAAAGTCCTAAGCCTGACTGGGAAGTCCAAAGCTTTAGGATTGCTCTGGCTGTCCAGCAATGTGGTCCATCAGTTTAGAGAGAGGGAAGTGCAGGGGACTCTTCCACTCTTCCTCGATCTAGGGACAAGGCTGGTAGTGAAAGGAGAGTTGGATGTGAGGCTAGGTGAAGTGTCTGGGTCTTGTCTGTGGACTTCTGTGAAGGTTTGTGTCATATAGATGTAACTGACTGAGATGGGAGTAATCTATCATGCTATTGTTTGCATTTCTAGAAGGTCACCCTGGCTCACTGTATGAGGGCAGGAGCTAGGATTCCACTTTGGTGACAGGTTTGAGGAGTGCTTTGTGAACAGCTGAGCATCAGGAGACAGCTGCTGCATATGTAAGCCCTGGGCTTAGCACATAAAAAACACCTGCCTAGATTAGCACGTATAAGACTATCTCCTGTCTCAGTCACTTGTAGGTTTTCCCACCCAAGTGCTAAGTCATGTTTCCCTCCTCTACATGACACCCACATTTGATATTGCTTCACTGTACAAGAGGTTAGACCAAAGTTTTGCCCAAGGCTCGCCCAAGGCTCAGTATCAGACTTCTGCTGTGGGTGGAGTTGCAGACCCAGTCAGGCCCCAAGTTTGAACTTCCAGCTTCCTCTTCTCCTGAGACCCAGAATGGGTGGGCTAGAGGCAGAAAACATCAAGGGCAGGAGAGCCCCACTGGCCTTTTTCTTTCCAGGGACTGGTGGATGAGCCGGTTGTGGCAAGGGCATCTGTAAGTATGGGCTGAGCCAATGGGCTGGGCACTGGGAAATTGGGAGCCATGCCTGTGCTCAGCCCTATAGTGTCCCCAAACACAGGCTTGTCTACCCCAGCTAGGAGGATTGGAAGGCAGGAACCGGGTACAGCCTGAGCTGCCCCAACAGAAAAGGGGTGACCTGGAGGTCACCTGTGACCCCTGCCAGGGAGTGTGGCAAGAGAGGAAATGACCTCAAGTTGGGGCTTGTCCTGGGAAGGTCTAGTCACAGCTTACCTTGGTTAATGTACCAAGACATTTGGAGTTTTCTATTAAAACTGTGTAGCCTAGAGCCATATATTCATACTCTGTATGACCAGGACGGTCTCTTTGGTTCTCTAGACCTCTCAAAGTCTGGCTTTCAGACATCTGGCCTCCATGACCCTTCTCTTACACAAGAATTTATGGGTCTCAGCCCAGTCTCCAAGACCAAAGAAGTCAATACTTCATGTTCAAACCTGTATCAGGGTCAGGGGGTGGAGGATGGATCTCTTAATAATACCTACTGTGTGCTGGTACAGTGGGGGCAGCCTTTGTCATGTATTTAAGCCTCACAATCTCCTATCCAGACTATGTTTTATTATACTGATTTATCGGAACTGGCAGCTGAGGCTCACAGAGAATAAATAATTTCCCCCAAATCACACAGCTACACAATAGTAGCTGGAATTTTGAATTCAGGAGTGTCAGCCTCCAAAGTTTGCTTCCTCCTTAGCCTCTGTCTAGTAAAAAAATGGCAGCAACAGCTTTTACAATACTTCTAGAACCCAGGCTAGTTTAAGCTCCTGCTCAATATTGGTCTACTCCATCTCCTTCATAGAAGCAAGATAGGCATTATTATTAATCACCTTTTAGAGGTGAGCAATGGAGGCACAGAGAGGTTAAGCAACCATCTTAAGGTCACAAAACAATCATTGGCCATGTACATGCTATGCTATGAGGCTGATCTTACTGACCAGACAGAGAAACAGAGACCAGAGATGAAGACAACTTAATGAATACTCACAAGAACTGACACATGAGTTCCTCAAATTCCAAGCCCAAGTCCCCCATTTCAGGAGCAATTCTTAAGGTGACCTACACACCTCTCTATGATAGGCTGCACAAGCAATGTCCTGGTGTATGCCCACCCATCCTCCCTTGTCTCACCCCAGACCCATTTGCGTTCGGTCTCTGCATGTCCCCGTGGGTGGAGGGCACCCACCCAATATCTTAACCATGAGACTTGCTTCCTAGGGTGAGCCTGCTGTGAAGGGGGAAGGAGAGGACAAGGCCACCACCGCAGAGGTAACTATGCCTGTTGGCAATGCCTCCTATTGTAAGCAGAATTTTCTGTCCCACCAGCCAACTCCCAAATAACCACACAGAAATTTATTAGTTATAAATGCTCAGTTGATAGCTTAGGTTTGTCATTAGCTTAGATTAACCCATATTTCTTATCCACGCTCTACCATGTGGCAGTACCTTTTTTCAGCATGGCATGTTCATCTTTCTTCTCCCCAATCTCATTACAACTCCACCCTTCTTCATCCCTGTGTTCTCTCGGTCTGGCTCTCCCGCCTAACCGCTTCCTGCCTAGCCATTGGTCAGTTGGCTCTTTATTAAACCAACGCAAGCAACACATCTTCACGGTGTACAGAAGGATTATTCCACAGCATCCTGTACTAGAGGCAAAAGCTGGGCACCCCGAGGCCAGCCCTGAACTCAGTACTGGCTGGTGAGGGCATGTCCCTCCTTGTCCTCAAGTAGTTCCCAGCTCAACAAGGTGACAGTGTGAATACTCTTGCTACTGTGGGCATGCCACAGCTGGGGCAACTGACCCTGGGATCTGGGATGGGAGGAACAGTCTCAGGAGTGTCTGGTGGGGGACCACAACCCTATGGAGAAGACACTGCCCCTTATCAAGCCTCAAGTTACAAAGAGCAGCCACCACACTGACGTGGTGACATGGGCTGGTGGCTGCCACACATAACAGGTGGCGGAAGGGGCTTCAACTTCAAAGCCTAGTGAGGGAGGCTGGGATCGAGAAAAGACTGTGGCAAGGACAAGAGCTTCGATGTTGAGGAACAGGAACCAGGGTGTCGTGGTCCTCGGGGGAAGCCGTAGAAGCAGGGCTGGGGATGTGGCTCAGTTGGTAGAGTACGTGTGTTCTGCACGCATGAAGTTCAAGGTTGTCTTCAGCCCAGCACGGAGGATCTGAGACCTTGGGAGGTTAGGGTAGAGTGGGGTGTGGATAAAAAACAAACAAATGCCAAGATCAGAGATAGTCTGGGAATGGAAGTGCCTGCTGAGGGCTTCCTGGGAGGGGTGAGTTGGAAGATGGGAAGCAGGGGGGAAGGAGGCCTGGGCTGAAGGGGTGAGGCTGAGCCAGGCATACCTGGGTAGCAGATTTGGGAAATTGTTGCTGTACTTAAGGAAAGGGAGATTCTGGTGCTCAGGAGGCTGAGACAGGAAGAGCACAGGTTCAAGGCTAGCCTGGTCTACATAATGAGACCCTGCCTAAAACAACAACCACAAAAAAGCACATGAGGAAGGGAAGGAAATAAGATGAGAGAGGAAAAGGCAGAGAGACAGGAGAAGGGGGAAGAGGAGACAAGGAGAGGCAAGGGGCAGGATGGGGAGAAAAGAAAGGGAAAGAGAGAGGGGAAGGAAGGGGAGGGAGGAGAGGTGAGAGGGGACAGAAAGAAGGACAGCTTGTCTGGGCCACTGATAGAGAGACCCTGAAGACCCCTGCTGGGCACCCAGAGCCCCTTCCCCAGCTAGGAGGCATGGACCCTGCACACAGCTGCCTTCTGTCTCCTCCTGGGGGCTTCACTTCTTATCACCTAGTGAACTCGCTTTGACTCCCTTTGACTCTGGGGGAACAGCAGATCCGCCACATTCCACAGGTAGTAACCCACATCCACCCTGACTCCAGCTCAGGGGTGACAGCCTTTCCCCTCAGCCACCTTGTTTGCCTTTGCCTTGATGTCTGTCTTCTCAAAGGTCAGCAGAATAGCTTGGTGCAGTCAGGGATCTCCATACATGAAGCCACGTGGAATGAAGGTTCTGGAAATGGAGGCTTGGCTATATCTAGTCTTTTTCTGGCTTGGCTCAGCCTACTCCACAAAGATGAT